CTCTATATTGTACAATAAATTGGAAAGATGGCTCAGGCTGTAGAATTCTAAAGTATACCTGGAGGAACACAAATGGAGCCATAACATGTAGCAGCAACTTGATTAAATACATCTGTGAATGGGATCCTCTGAAATATGTATCTCTGACCATCCAAAATGTCCAGAAAGAGGAAAATCTCACAGTTGAAATCATGTCAAACTGTGGTATGGCTAAATCACATCCGATACAATTACTCCCTGGTAAGTATCTTTCATCAACAGAAAGCATGTGTGTGTGAATGAGTGTGTGTTTTATTCAGACATACAGTTAACACTGTATTCAGTGCGCCTGTTGAAATGACTCTAATTTACTTTGTAGCATCAGCTAGAACTGCGCAGGACAAGAAGTCTGAAGACACGACCGCCAATATGTCTGTGAAGGTTCTCAGTCATCCAGGTCATCGTAGTCAACACGACCGCCAAGAAACTGTTTGTCTCACTTTTTGCATCAGCTATTGTTGTCGCCATTTTGGTTTTCGTGTATATAACTTACAGATGCTGAGAAACCCCACGACCCAGACAGAGGAAAGACTAAGATCGTTTGCTGCAGAGAAACATTGTGAATGTTGTGTTAGTCAGTGTACAGGTGGATGTGTGAGCATATGTGCTGTGCGTCACACTGCTTTCTTCTGAATTATCACACAAACATTTTTTAAATATATTTTTAAAACTTCTTGGTGTCTTTATAAAGATCAAGCCATGTAAATATGACGATGTAAGTAAATTTTACTGCCGACCTTTTCGCTCCACCTTCTCTGGCTTTTTGTGGAATCTGAATAAAGTTTTCTTGCATCTGGATTAAAACCTGAAAGTCTCTCGCATTTTTATATTTCACATCTAGAATTTGTATTACCCACAGTGCAACCTGACTAGTGTGTAAAGATATATGTCCATGTCACTATGTCACTGTAAAGCCTTAGCAATCTTTGCCATGGTTATATAAACATCACAGTCATTCATCAAACAGGAGAGGATTATGGGAACTACTAATTTCCCATCT